AACCAAAATTAGTCAGTGACAAACTCAGCATCTTTACTTTTATAAACCATATGACAGCACATCCTTCATTCACATGCGTGGAAGCTGAAGTCTGCCTGGCATTTGCTTCAGAACTCAGCTTTGAAAGAAGGCCTGCGTAGTGCTAGTGATTTACAGCTTTACCCAGAGATAGAACATATAATTGGTAGATCTCTGGGTAGATTGTGCGTTGTCACGTATTAGTTATGCTGAATGACTGCTGATTTTTATTTATTTGTTTGTTTGTTTATTTATAGCCACCTCCAAAACTGCCTAATGGTGTTTTTGGTTCTGAATTTCAAGATTTTGTTAACAAATGGTGAGTATTTTTGCTATGGCTGAGTTGCAAAGTGACATATTTGGGTTCAGCCCTGGTGTCGTACTGTATCAGTAACTTGGCAGAGTCCCTGGTTGTAGACCATGGCAAATGTAAAGTCATTTCAGTTTGCATAATCCTCTTTCTCTGACTGTTAATGTGCCTAAAGCTCGCTTTATAGGCACCAGCTTGACAGCATATGCATCCAAAGAGAACCCCAAAGCTGAGAGATGTATCTTAGAGGGGAACAATTTCTGCTTCTGTGTGCACATAAGATTAGTACTTTCTCAGCACTGAAGACACCACAGTATGTGTGGACTCTGATCATACAGCACACCTCTAAAGAAAGGTCCTTACTTTTAAGGGCAACCTTCACAGCGTTCTGCAGTGACTGTTCCGTATGATACAGAAGTCTTGCAGGCTCCAGATGTTTTTATTCTTTCCCAGTGCTTCACTGAACACCTTTATCGCAGTAGTCATTCTCCCATGTATTTACTTCTCCAATTGCACTTCAGTGATACCAGCACTGAACCAGTATATTCAGTGTTAAGGGAGGCAGTTCCTTACAGTTTGAAAAGTTAGTTTATTTATTAAAAGCTACATATATGTATTTACTGTTTCCAAAGGGAGGAACAGCAGTGCAATAGCTGTACTTTATACTGAGCTTGAGAAGACCTGGGTAAAAGAAACCTGAGGGATAAAGCAGTTCATATTGTTGAGTTTTTGTTCAAATGGGAATTTGATCTCTCCAGCCTGGTTATAGAGACTCCTGCCCCCACCATACAGTATCAGACAACTCGGGATTTCATACCTAAAACTGTACCTGTGAAACCTTCAGAAGAGAATTGCTCACAGAACCTGATCTGTGTTTGAGAGGCACTACATTACCTAATGCTTTTATCTAGAGCGGTGTCTTCTTCAGACCGAAGCAGTACACCAACATGATGTAACTTCATCTTTCTTTTAAAAGATAATAGTGTGTAACTTGTGTAACGCTTTCTGTTTTCCTAGTTTAATTAAGAATCCTGCTGAGAGAGCTGATTTGAAGCAGCTGATGGTAAGTGAGAGTTCTTAACTTGAACTAAGAGCACTCTTCCACGCAGGTTGGATTCCACAGCTGACCTGAGACCAGGATCAGAGCACATGGCCTAGAGCGTAGTCTGTTGCCCTTGACACAAGTGGCTCAGAGTTGGAGGGGGGGGCTGCTTTTCTGATCCAGAGATCAAGGGCTGCAGGCTTCCCACACTCCTAGGGCAGGGACCGTCAAGGAGAGCAAAACTGGTGGGTTTTGGAGTCTGCCATTTGAATTAATTAGCAAAAGAATTCTCTCTTTCTTGGGTTTCTTAGTCAATAATAAAGTATATAGATTATTGCTTTTAGGAGGACGAGAGAACAAAATTCCACATACCTTATGGACTAGTTAAATACATTTTTATCATCTGTTGTGAAACACAACATTTCCCTCTCGTTTCTTCATCATCTTTGTCTTACCAAATCTGTAGAACTAGTAGACATAAACAAATCCTGCATTTTTTCTGCATGAAACGACCTTATCAGTTTCAGTGGATCTTTCCGTGGCCTTAAGTGTAATGCTAGGACTTAAGTTCTACTGCAGAAAATCAAGTTTTCCCTGCCCTGATGCTGCTGTACAATAAGGGTGCAAAATGCAGACTCTTTCTATTACAAAAAAGCCTTTCCGTGCCCAGGCAGACATTTCCCAGAGTATTATCTCAAGTGGCTGAGTCACATCCTTATCGCATACTGTGGTGTAAGTATCCTGCAACAGGCGCTGTGTAGGCAGGATTCCTCTGGAATACTTTGCAGTGTGATGCATTTCACATGCTGGTTATTTCCGTAATCCTGCAGAAAAGCTCTCCTGGTCACTTCCTGGGGTTTGCCAAATTTTATAGCTAGATTGACTAGTGGAAGGCAACTGGATTTTTTCTATTTCATGTTATTAAAAATTATCATTTAACAGATCGAGTGCTTGAATAATAATACTCTTCTCCTCTGCTCAGATTCATGCTTTCATTAAGAGATCTGAAGCGGAGGAGGTGGATTTTGCGGGGTGGCTTTGTTCAACCATAGGCCTTAACCAACCGAGCACACCCACGCATGCTGCTGGAGTCTGAATATGGAAGAGCAAATCCTGTACTGTACATCTGTTAACAACAATGCTATTTTGGTCCTATTTCCTCAGCTTGTACCTGTTCAAACATATATTTCACCTCTTAAGGAAGAATGTCTTTATAGCATGTGCCAAATGGTTTTAAATTTTGTCATAAACTAATTGGTATTGTATTGGATTACATTTGTTCACTGACCAAAATGTAAGATGTTTAAGTTACAGTGCTTGCTGATTTTAAGTGATTATGGATATTCTTTCTTAATGAAAATATCACTGGGGGCATTTACCCCCAGCTTGTTTGAACTTTATCAAGAATCTTCGTAAGTCGTCGGTACTTCAATCATGCTTACCTAATCTCCCATGCAAAAAGGGTTAGGGATGCTCCGAAACTGTATCTGTCGAGCATGCTTTTGCTGCTGCCAAACTGCATCTGAAAGTTAGGCCTAATGGTTCCGATTTTGCTGTTGTTTAGAGATCTCTCTTTCCAGGTAAAGAAGGCAAGAGCTCTGCATTTCTTGGAATGTACAGGGCGATATTCTAATTGTAGACTTGTTCATATTTCTATATTTATTTTTAAAACATATCATCATACTTGGATTTAGTGATGTTATGTCTTTCTAATTGATTTTTAAAAGTTAGTTCTTCGAAGTGTCCTACCAGAATCAAGACAAAGATCCAGGCAGTTTGCTTTCTTTTGACCTAAAGATTCATGACAACTGTGTTTAATGTCTAAAGTGTATGAAGATCCTCTATTGTTTTATTCTCTCAGATGTTTAGCAATGGATTCTCTTAATAAATATATTATCAAGTAACTTCTTGAAGCTTTTTTTAAAGCTCAAAAACTTGAGCAAAGCCTTAATCTGAAGCCACTGCTGCGTTGCACACCCTCTTTCTGTATTTTCTATATTTTTTTCTGTATTTTTCCACAACCATGCAACATCCATAGCTCCAAGAAGAACGGATTGCATCTGTAAAGTTGACAATGTGTGAAACGGATCTCAAGTCAGGTGCCAGTGAGTGTGGCAATACCACTTACTGGGTTTCTGTGGCACGGCAGAGGGAAGCCAAGCTGCAGAGGCTTTGTCAGTGTAGTGCTCACACAACTTGTGCTGCCCTTGAGGCTCAGCTGCCTGCGGTAACCCCCTGCCTGGGGTGTGACAGCTGTTCTGGGGCAAACTCGCAGTGTGGCACAAACCACCGACCAGCCTGACCCACCCTGTTTGCCTGCATCTATCGTTAACCAAGACTGATTGTGCTACTCTCGCTTCTTCAGGTTATTTTTCTTCAGAAGTTCAGCTACTGCGCAAGCTTGGCGCTGCACAGGGTGATGTGGTTACAGCTGCACGTCCTCTTGCTCTCTTAACAGCCTTATAAAAAGTTTAGCTCCTTGAAAGGATGCTTCAGACAAGGAAATGGCTGAAGTTCTTTCCTAAAAGGAATCTAAATCATTCTAGACATGAACTTCCCCTTTGCTGACAGTATCAAGTATCAGAGGGCTGGAATAGCCCTCAGCCCATCAACAGTAGGAAATGACTCAGTGACACGTCCCAGCCTGCCTTCAGCATGTCCTCACTTCAGTGTGACTTGGGAGTAGTGACAAGGCTCTGTACCCTTTAATTTAAAATCTGTCCTAAGCTTTATATGTGAATTATACACACTAAACACACAATAAAACTACAGTAGTGTTTTTTTTACTATCTGGTAAAAGAAATACGCACTGTGTGAACAGCAAGTTTTTAGAGATTTAATTCCCCTTTTCCTTGTTTGCTCCACAGCCAGCAGTAATGTGACCACTGCAAGCACAGTTCTGTGTAGTAGGACACCAGAAAAAGTACCCGATTGCAGCATGTACTAGAACTGGTCTAGTTTAATCCAAAAGCAAGCAAAGGCCTCCTTCACAAAAGGCAGAGGGAAGTATATCCTTCCCTACTACTCTGGACCATGCTAGGGACAAGTAACTTTTTTCAACAGAATTACCCTTTTGAGATGAAATGTGAAGAAAAGAGAGGCTGATTACCACACTGCTTACAGACCAGCTCTTCACACGCGTGCTTTCAAATAATTATTTGACCCTCGAAGCTGTAACTTTTAGCTCAAAATTATTTTATTTTTTTTTATTTTTTTTTTTTTTATCCTGTCAGTCTTGGGAAAGCTTTGCTGAATGTTCTGGACTCATGTTCTCAGTCCCTTCATTAAGACATCCCAGATTCTCAAAAAACAATTAGTCTTTAGTACAGGATTAAGCTAAATTTACATTCCAGCATTCAGTTTCTATGTCTACAAACCAAATTAAGAGCCAAATAAACAATCCATCCTCGAACACTGGCAGGTTGCATCATGTGCTCTGACCACAGCCAGGACATGGGACGCTTTTCCAAGTTCCTTACCTGCTCCTAAAAGCAAACATTCAGAAGAGCATTTGTTCTGTTTTCGGAGTGATATCAGAGCCAGCAAAAGCACCTTTATATACTAGTTGTGCAGTGAAGCACTCTGGATATTACTGACTTATTTTCCTAGTAAGACAGCTGACAAAGTGGCTGAGTTAGAATGTTACTTTTATTGGTCTTAATCAGCTTTAAAACAAGTCTTTAAGAATTGATAAAATAACCAGCTGCACCACATGGTGTCTGTGCTCCACAAGGAGAAAGAGCATATTGCCCATCAGTAAGAGCAGCACCAGCTTGTAACCGTACCATTAAAGAAACTCTGGAGGGGACTTGACTTTGCATCACTTTCCATTTTATAACTAAGTCCTTAAACTCCTCATGCTCCTTGAAGATCACGTGAAAGCAGAAGGTGGACTTGCATTGATTTATAAAGTTACTGTGAGGAAAAAGAAAATTACTGATTTTAAAAATAATAGTTTGTTATTACAAGTAACAGGGGCCAATTCTTATGGTACACTTGGTGGAAAAATAAAAGGCTAAGTGGCTGCTACTCTGAAAGAGCAAGAAGCGGAAGCCCGTTCCCTGTTGCAGACTGACAGTACTTAAGAAGAGCACCAGTAGGTACAAGGAGAGGCCGCCTCATTACCGCGCTCAGAATTGGGTTGTCAGTGCCGTACCTGCTTCTCCCCGTGTATGAACACCTACATCTCCACGGGTCACATTTCCAGGGAGCACAAATCCAGTTTGCCATGTCACTGAGCACGCAGCAGCTGACAGCCTGGAGACAATCCTGGACACATCTTTTCTCACTGCGTATCGTGAATTCCCAGTTTAAGCAAATGAGGTTCTAATATAATCATTGGTTCAGCAACCGGCCTCCACGGCCTGGTTTTATTTTTCAGCATCAGGAAATAAGAACAGACGACTTATTGCTTTTAGTGTACATGTTAAATTAGTCTGACTTGAAAAATGACTTCTCCTGTCTACATAAAAAGATGTAGTAAGCTACACTGGGTCGTAAACGTGGAACGGATTATGCTACATAGTTGTGCAGCAAATTTTCATTTTTTTTAACATCTTAAGTCAAGATGTGCCAAGCTTGTGACATTCATGTGTTCAAGAGTAACCTCCCTAGACTCCAAAAGTCTTGCATGTCATATAGTTCCTATCCAGGACAAAATGAAAATCAGTTGGTGAATTTTATATGAATGAAGAAATTCCTGAGTCTGTATTAAAAACCATCTCTGATTTTTTTCTCTCAAGAATCGGATTCCTCCTCCTCTTCCTCCTCCTCCTCATGATGACCTTGAAGACTTAGGTGTAATTCAGTTTGATTGATAGCAGCCTCGTTGTCCATCTGCCCGAGAGTCTGTCACAATAAGAGAGTTTACCATGCTAATTATCAAAACCGGCAGCAACACTGAATGCTTCTCAAATCACTCCTTAAACTGTGCAGTCACGGCCTCTTTCAGACATCTCAGCACTAGCAAGAGCCCATCGCAGTGCTGAGCACCAGCTCTCGACAGAAGAGTTACAACTAGCTCAGGCTGACCGCGTATTTAGTAAGAAGTTCGGATGGTCTCTGTGCCTCCAGCCCCAACCATCAGTTGGCTAAACCTGCTTGGCGTAGTTAAGAGCATGAGACACAATGTTTAATAAATGGCAAACTGAAGCCACACCAATACAAAGCAGGTATGTTATTTCCCAGCCTCCCTGGAAACAATATACTGCTTTCAGGGATGGGGAAAAGGCGAGACCCTTGAAACAAAAACGAGCAACAAACCGGATTTTACAGCAGAGCTTTTCGCTTTGCAAACAATATCGACGTTAAGAACTCTAAATGAAAACCGCCCACAGGAACACCCACAGACACCCAGGTCTCTCTCGTCTCCCCGTCACGCAGGGCGAGGCCAGCCGGCCCTTACCCCCTGAGTCTCCGCGATGGCAGACGACGAGGCTGGGACATTCTCCTCTCTGGACCTGATCATGGACTGCAGGGCCAGCTCCTCCACCTGCAAGCGAGGGAACACAGGGGCCTCTGCAGTCATTATTTCTTAAACCCTATTTAAAGTGTTAAATTTTTTTGAGTAATCAACGGCAATCACGGCAATGCTCTTTAAAACCCGTTTCACCCCTCTTCAGCGCAGAGCAGGACGCGGCGGAGCCCGCCGCGCACACCGCTGCGTTACCTCAGGGGTTATTTTTCGCGGCGGTGGGGGGGGGGCTACGGGCGCTGCGAACGCGCCCAAACCCCTCAGAGCCGCGGCCAGGCGGCCGCTCCTCCGCGACCCCTCTAGTAAAAGCAATAGGGAAAAAAAAAGAAAGGCGAAGCAAACCCGGCCCTGCCGCTGCCGGCCGCGTCGGGCCCGGGCCGGCCGCGCCCGCTCCCCGCCCAGGGCCCCGCTGCCCGCCGCCCTCCTCAGCCCGCTCCCCGCTGACCCTGAGGCGGGTGAGCTGGTCGTTGAGCGCCGCCTTCACCCGCAGCAGCGTCTCCTCCTCCTTGCGCAGCTCCTGCAGCCGGCTCAGCATCCTGCGCCACCGCCCCGCCTGGCGCCGCGGGGCGGGAAAGCGGCGGGGCCGCAGCGCCCCCTGGAGGGCGGGAGGAGGCGGCGCGGCTCGGCGGCGGGGTGACGTCACGCCGCCGCCATTTGCGCGTTTCCGGGCGGCGGCTGCCACCGCGTGGCCGCTTGACGTCACGGCCGGTGAACATCGGAAAAAGGTAAACACCCCAGCTCCCGCCGTCTTTCAGCTTGCCGAGACCCTCCCTCTTTTTTACTCTTAGGAGAGCTTCCCTTTTAAACCTGCTCCAAAATGCACAACCCCGTCAGAAAACACGACAGCAGTTCAGTGTTCCAATAGAATTTATTAGCTGTAAATGCACTGTTCAGCTTTCTGAAGTTAGATGAAGTACTGCACAGGGTTTACGCTTCAGCCTTGGCCTTCGCAGCAGGCTTGGCAGTCTTGGCTGTGGTCTCTGCCCTAGGCGCAGCTGGGACCTTGGCCTTGGCCTTCGCTTTCTTCTCTTCCTTAAGTTTATGCTAAAAGACAGACAAAAAAGGATCATCAGCATATAATCTGAAGTACTAAAACCACTTTTGGCTATTCCCGGCTTCTGTGCCCACTCACGTTTTGCGCGTGGCGCAGAATGGTGTTGCGCCGCATCGTTTTGGCATACGGGTTCAACTTGATCATGATTCTCAGGTTCTTCAGTGGATTCTTCTTCAGGACTCTACGGCGAATCTTCTTCCTGCAAAGAACAGGCATGTATCACGACCTCATTTCACAGTTCAAGTTCCGCTCAATCTTCCCTGGTATTTGGGGAACCGCAATTCCTTGTAGAAGCTAAAGGGATCCCAGCCCTACCCCACATCCCAATGCAGAGATTTCTGATCTCATTGCAAAGCTTTGCACTTAGCAAATAGAGATTGTACTTCGCAGTTGTTAGGTAAAATAAAAATGATTACTTGGGAGCACGCAGCGCCTTCTGGATTTCCTGGCTTCTCATGATCCTTCCAATGTCCGTGTTGGTCATCTTATGCATGGGCAGGCTGGGAAACAAGCAGTCATAGCGTAAGTTGGATGATAAAAAGAAGGTTAGTTCAGTGAAAATAGGCATTTAGGGGACAGTACTAACACTCATTCTCCCCCTCCCAACGGAAGAACCCGTGCCGCTGACGGGCTGTTCTCCTGAGCCCGTTCCATCGCACCGGCCGTGCTTACTTGTAGTCGCTCTTCAGCGTAGCCGCTTTGCGCCAGGTGCCGTACAGATCGTCCAGCTTGCGGAAGGCGCTTTCTGTCCAAATGCAGAAACGCCCAACGTGGCCCCCAGGAGCAAGTCTCAGCAGGTTCAGCTTGTTCACATCCAGAAGAGTAATTCCTTAAAAAAAAAAAAAACAACAGACAAACCCATCCTTTTCATTTGTAATTAAAATCAGGGAATGCAAGGCTAAGAAACAATTGAGGAAGTATGCAGAAACAGATTGGGGCTTATTAGCTTCTACACTACAGAATTACATACACCTACGTATGAAAATCTATTAAATTTTTAAAAAATAATCAGCTTTTTTCCATCAACAAACTTAACAGCCTCATTTACAATTGTTCCAGTTTCAGGCTGGGAACAACTACAGAATTTGTCATAAGACCTCCTCAACATCACCAAACTAGATTCTTCAAAAGAACATATTAGCTGTTTCAGCAAGTCAGAACTTCCACAAAATCATGTGTTTCAGAAACACGGACCAATGAAGTGGAATCTCATCATTCATGGCAGTCTCTCAAGAAATGAGAGAGTGTGTGCTACTCTGAAGTTACCTGGGATATTCCGGAAAGCTCTGATGATACCATTGTCCTCGTTGTAGATGATGCAGGGTCCTCTGCGCTGGATGCGACGCCGATTCCTCATTTTACCCTTTCCGGCCCGCATACGCTGGGAGGCATAAACCTATATAGAAATGAAACTCGTGAATATTCAAAACAGTCCAATCCCACTAGTAAGACACAATAAAACTGCTTTAGTCAGAACTTCACAATCATCACTGCTTATCTGAAACACGGACCAGTGAGAAGCTCATCACTCTTAAGAGTAAAAAAATAAAAGCGCTATTAACATTAAGCAATACCGAAATGAAGACAACTAAATACAGAGTAAAGCAGCATGGTAAGAAATTTACTTCGCTTAAACTATTTTAGTTTGTTGCAGTTTTATTACCAAGGGATTTCTAGCAGCATCAAATCAAAACAGAACTACTTCAAATTCTCACAGTAACAACGGCAGAGCTGAATCACTCAGGTTTCTCTCTTAAGAACGTACCCCATCCACTCACCTTTTTGATGTCATTCCAAGCTTTAAGCTTCTTAAGGAGGAGAACAGCTTCCTTGGTTTTCTTGTAACTCTCAACTTTGTCCTCAACAACCAGAGGAAGTTCTGGGATCTCCTCAATGCGGTGGCCTAGCGAGGATTTTACAAAGACACCAAGTTACAGTTCCCATAAGCTGTGTGGACAAGATTCTTGTCAGCCAAGCACCTCAGCATCACCAAACTTCCAACACCGCGGGACCACAGAGTACCCCCCTCCCCCCCCCCCCCCGAGTTGTACATAACAAAAATACCCCCCCGCTGAAGAACAGACTGCCTCTTAAACTGTTTAAAAGAGAATTCAGTTATCCATGAGAAACATTTTGAGTAATCACACAGTAACTGATACTGCTCAGGCCGTGTAAAACTGCAGGCAAAGGTTTCCCAGGACAGAGCCTCCCACCTTTGGACATGACCAGCGCTGGGAGAGCGGACGCTGCCAGGGCGGAGCAGATGGCGTAACGCTTTTGAGTTGTATTCACTCTGCGGTGCCAGCGTCGCCAGGTCTTGGTTGGGGCAAACATGCGGCCTCCACGACACATCTATGTATCTACAGTTAAGAACAACCTTTTTGAAGTTTTTTTTTCTAGCGTGCCTCTTTAACCCTTGCTCAGCGTTAACTGTTCGTCAACCATCTGTACCAGTACACTGACAGCAGGCAACTGTCACCGAGCACAGAGTAAGACGCAAATTACGACATCACGGCAAGACAGTACGCATCATCAGTCAAGATATCCACCAGGTTTGCAGCGTGGGGGGAAATCAATGAAAGCTACTGTTCATTAAAGCAAGTCTGAACGTGCATACAGAGGGTTCTAATCACATGATAAATTTCCCAAACCTGGTGACCCCCTCCAGGTAGCCATTACCTCAAGTAGATTCCATTTCACATTTAGGTACTTAAAAATCATTTTTCTGCTCGATGCAAGCAGCAGCTATGAAAGGATACATTTCCGAAGGCACCCTGGCCAGAGCGGTGAGTTCCACCACCTCGTACTCGGGGAATACGAGCAACGGCTCTCCCAGTACCCCAGGATTCAGCACTGGTCTGATGACCTGGAACAGAAAGGTTTTAATTCAGATAGTGACAACACTGCAATTTTCCCAAAGTCACAGATATGCTGAATTCAAGAGCACCAATCAGAACTTCCACTGTTATCATGTGCTTCAGAAACACGGACCAATGAAGTGGAATCTCATCATTTCAGCAAAACAAATCCCGATCAGGGAATTTGTTATCATATTAAAGATCTTCCTGGGTCAGAATCAAGTACATTAACATGCTCATTTCAAAGCTTGATCCTCGATTTGGAGATCTGAATTGGCACTGCTGTTCCTAGTGGCTTAAAAAATTTATGTGAAAAGTCATCAGAAATAAATTTGAAAACGCATGATCCTAGCACAAATTTCTTGGGAAGCAGAAGCTATTTGCACCTACAGTCTGCTGAAGCCACTAAAAAATGTCCATTCGCACAGGTTTCTTCATGGCAAATGCCTCAGGGAAGTCTCACTTGGTCAACATGGTGCAGGGATTATACAGCACATTTTTTCATCCCAGTTTTACGCCTGATACACTTTAGGACATTTTGTGTTCTTGCAAAGAATGTAGATACCACTCAAGGACCTGGGCACCACAATACTTTCAGTAATATACATTTCAGGTAAGACTCCAAACTACTCCTGAACTTTTACATCACCTTACTGTTCTTCAGCATAATAAGAAAGTTGTATTTCATACAATTTAAAAGCAGATTGTTAATAACCAGAACAGTCACACTGCCTTCTATACAGAATCCCACTCAACAGTGCTTCTCCCATTTCAATTCTAAATTTGTTTCAATTTTAGCCCACCTATATTAAAGACAAAGTCTAATACAAGCATTTCTGTCCATTTTGTGGTCCAGCCATACCTGCAAGTTCACTGACAGCGTAGGGCTGCCTGTTGTTCTTGCGCAGGTTGGTGTGAACGAAGTTCACGACGTCAGGGCGAATGGGAGCCTTGAACACAGCAGGCAAGGTAACATTTTTGCCTGATGCTTCCCCCTTCTCAGAGTAGACAGATATTAACGGTCGAGCACAAGCCTGAAAAAGGAAAAACTCATAAGCACAAGTTAAGTAAATTGCTAGCTTTTCAATTCATCAAATATTGCTCAGAATGAAGGGGTCTTCAGTTCAACAGTGCCAGCACACTGACAGCAGGCAACTGTCACTGAACACTGGATAAGACGCAAATTACATCATCACAGCAATAATTATCAGTTAAAATAGTGCTCCACAGCACAATCCACGTATAGAAAACTACACCCGAGGTTTCAAATTCAACAGATTTCCAAGTTGTTTGGGTAAAATTAATCTGGAATTGAATCTCTGAGCTCTTCAGTAAGACTTTCTAAACTACTTACCATCTACTATTAAAAAAGCCTATATAAAACACACCTATGTTTATTCAGTTAACCAAAAGCTTGTTATTTAGATTAACAATTGAAATGCTGTAACCAACCTCTCAAATACAATATTGACTCACAGTGACTACAAGCAATCAAACTTAGTGTCAGAGTGAGTTTTTTGTAAAGACTGGGCCCTCTGAACAATCCCCGGTGCCTTAAAATTTGTGAGGTGAAACATTCAACTGCTCAAAGCACCAGCTTCCTTTCAGAAAGTTGAAAAGATGTCTGATAACAGCCTGCCAGCCCGAACAGCACCCTCTTTTAATATTATACTGTATTTGATATTAATTAATAGTTCACATCAACAGTACAAGCAAACCATCTTCCTTCCTTTCCCATCCACAATTCATTTTGGAGGTATTAAAAATATTACAAAACTCAAACCCAACCAGCTAATAGTACTACCTGTGCCTTTAACGCTGGTTACTAGCAAGGTAACCCCTGGAGTCAATGCAGAGACCCCAACACAGGCAAGCAACAAACTTAGTCGAGATGAAGCACAGTCTGAATTCTATTAGTATGAAAAGTTGTTCATTTGCAAACTTTTTCCAGAGCAAGATCTCTTAAAGCGTGTTTCTGAATATAAAAAAAGAGAGTTAAATATATAAATTTTAGAGAAACCGGTTTTTTCATTCTACACGTGCCCAAAAGCTTTCGGTATGGTTTTGCTTGGCTTTAGAGGAACACGTGAGAAGACGACCAGAGCCTTGTCAGAAAGCGATGCAGGACCCATCTCCCAAACTGCCCGAGGAAAACGGGGCTTCCAGCGGGCCCGGCCAAGCTCTCGCCCGCGACCCCTTCTCCAGTCCCGCCCCAGTCCCCACACAGCCTCCACGCGGCAGGCCGAGCGCTGACGGCTCCAAAATGGCGGCGGGCCGGCCGCCCCACGCCTCCAGCCCTCGGGCTGCCCGCGGCACGCCTCTGCCCGCCGGGCCTGGCTCCCACCAGCCGAGACCCACCACCCGTCCCAGCTCCGACTCCCCGCGGCCGCGTCTCACCATGGCGGCGGCAGCGGAGCCCCCCGTGCGCCCGCCCGTCCCCGCCGCAGCCTCAACCGGAAAAGGAAGGACGCTTCCCTCGGCCTTCACTAGGAGCGGTACCCCTCCGCACCCTGCCCGCCGCCTTCTGCCGCGCCGCCCGGTCGGCTCCCGGCCCTAGCCTCCAGCCCGAGTCCCTTCGCCGGCGCCACGCCCCGCGGTACCGAGCCCTCTTCCTCCGGGCGCTTCTGTCGCTCTCGGTAGCCTCGAAAGCCGGGGGACTCTTTTTCTGGCGGATGGATTCGTCGTGACCACTCACCAAGCCCCACAGTAATTATAAAATTTATTAAGTTGTGGTTTGCTTTTTTTTTTTTCTCCCATGGGTGGAGAGAGCGTGCGGAGAGAATAAATATAAATAAAACCCAGTTCTGTGAGGGAAAAAATAATGTTTTTTTTGTTTTCACTGAGCACTCCGCCCCGGATGTAGTGGCGGGGGGCGGGCGAGGCGCGCAATTCGGTTGTGGCGGGCGGGGATGGCGGCGGAGCGGCGGCGGCGGGCGGCGGACGAGCTGTACGGCCGGCTCCGCGGGTGGGTGCCGGCCCTCCGCGGGCGCGGGACGGCGGCCGCCCTGAGGGGCCGATCCGCTGAGGGAGGCGGCTCGGCCGGGGAGGGGGGGTGCCGGGCGGGGTCGCAGTGTGTGGGGAGGCTGCTGAAGGCTCTGGTTGCAGACCTGCGGTGTTTTCGTTTATGCAGTTAAATTTATTAAGTTAAACTTACTGTTCAATGAGGGATGTAGAGGAAAAAAAAAAAAAAAACCAACACTTTCTATACCTTAACGCTTTATTTTCTTTCAGAATATATGAAGAAGGAAGGGAAAGCATCCCTGAACACCCGTATCTCTTTGAGGTAAATATATATGCGAAAATAGTTATGCAACCTGAGTCTGCACGTTCAAAACATGCAGCCGCTGATCAACAGCTGAGATATATGTGGGAATATAACGTAAAAGGGAAAGTTTACCTCAGCGATATCGCTTTGGATCTGCCGCTACCTCAGGGGCGGAGGAGAGCCGGGTCCCAGAGCGCTGCCCGCCCGGGGCCAGCACCAGCCCTCTCCTCCCCGCGCATTCCTGCGCGCCACTACAGTTCTTGCAGTTGGTAACTTGCTTAAAATGGTCGTGAGACTCAAAAGTGTTGTGGGGGCAGTGCAGAAGGTGGATGGGACTCTGTGCGGTTGCTGGGAGGGGAGGAAAGAGCTGCTGCAGAAGTTGCCCCTCTCGGCAGCTGTGTGGCTGCCCTCAGGTCGTATTTTCATGCTTCGAACCTGCTGCTTCTGGTGGCACACTTTTTGTCTGAGTACTTTTATGGGGAATCTGTATGAAAATAGCAATTGCTTCTAATGGCTTTTAAAACAGGAATGGCTGGAAAATCTTTAATGCTACTGTATTAATCTTGGGGGTTTCTATAAGTTTGATAATAGTTTGAAAATAATATCAGGTGATTACTTAAATATGCAATAATGTGAAAAACAGACTAGGTGTGAAGAATCAAGCAATACTTCTCTGTGTGTATGGAAAAGACTAAGTAAAGATTGATATTTCTACATTAAAAGGAACAGACTCCAGTTATTTAATGTCTCCAAACAGTGTTTACAGCTCTCATGAGACATTCAGGGAAGTGATCAGTTGATATTTAAGGTTACTTTAAATTAGTATTCTTCACCTCAAGGGTTTCTGGTGACTGCAGTTGCTACTTGACAACAATGATCGTCCTTATCGCAGATTAACTAAAGTTTTACTCATTGAACCAAAAATGAGTTTCTCATAAAATCAACCTGTTGGAGATGAGATTTTCTATGTTGGATAGTTGAAAGTTGTTGCATTTTCACAGTTGATTTGACTCCTGAAGTAAGAAAGCCTTAGATTCATGAATAGTTGCAATAGGGTTGGAAAACAGTTTGTGGAATTAGTTTTCAATTTCAGGTATAAAAAAATGCTGAAATTCAGCATTTATGTGTCGTGTATTAAAAAGTTGGTTGTTTTTTTTTTTCAGACTGATGTAGAGATCTGTTTCATTGGTGGTAGTTGCAAAAGTCCCGTTGAAAGATTTTGGAATGGAAACAATGTATATATTTTGCAGAAAGCAGTAAGTGTGTATGATTTTTTTTTTTTTTAACGTAATCTAAACTTTTTAATTCCCATCACATATTTTGACATACTTCCCATTTTTTGACTTATCTATGCATTTCTCTTAAAGAGACACAATGAAGAAAGTGACCTAATGGAAGAATCAAAAATGGATGAGGCTCTTTATGCCTCTGAGCTTTTACCAACAGAGAGTTCCAGACCAGTGGCTCTTTCTGTCAGAAGAGCAAAGTAAGTGTCAAAGGTCTGCATCCCCTTTTGATCTAATTTTCTTTTGCAACTTTTCTCTCTTCCTAATATTCAGAACCTGTATTATTTTCAAGCCCGCAAAATTAAATTATTCATTAGTTTAGTGAGGAGGTATGACCATTTTTTATTCTGCAAAATGGTCTCTGCTGGCTTAAAGTGTTCCTAACAAAGTAGCTGAGGCACTGGAAAAGCACTTGTGAGCTGTCCCCTTAAATTAATGGGACTGTCTGGGTGTAGGTTAGCAAAGAAAGCTTACTAAGACTTCAATGCTTGTTTTTGTAAGACTTCTGTTAAAAAAAGACAAAACCTGATTTGGGTCTTTGGCTGTTATTAAAATACCAAGGCATGGTACTAAAACATGGTGACTAGTTTGCTTAACTAACTTATCCTTTTAACATGCTTAAAATGTAAATTTCAATGATGATTTTAGAACCTTTAATCTAAAGTAAAATATATATAGTCTCAGTCATGATTTCTTCTTCCTTTGTGATTTCATTGTTCTACCTGTTCAAAGAGCATTATAATACAGCATACTTTTTGTAAAATGATTTGATGTCTGCTAATGAAGCGAGGTAGATAGGTGTTAAGTTTTATGTAAGGGATAGATTTAGCTATACTTGCTGGCATCTTATTTTTTTCCTGTTTGTATTTCTAGGCAGTTGATTTCCTTATATACGATGGTACAAAATCCAAACATGACCCATTTGAAGATAAGTGAACCAGTTGCGCTTCCTCCCCTCTGGATAAGGTGTGATGGTTCTGATCCTGAGCATACCTGTTGGCTTGGAGCTGAGCCTCTCAAAGATGGAAACACAGTCACAGGGATCAATTTATATATGGTTACATGTGACGGTAAGGTTATAAGGTTACATGTAAAATTAAACGAGGAAGGCTAAAGAATGTGGGAATATTGATGTAGCAATGCAATCTTTGTCCTTTGTGTGATGTTGGCTTGGTACTGTTCTATATTACAGGTTTTAAAAAACAAAAGGCAAAAAAAAAAAGAAAATAAAAAATATTTTTAACCCATGCTGTGTGTGGGAAGTAACTTTTTAATATACTTTATGCAACAGTATCTGTGCAGGCCTACTTTCACTCAGGTGCAATAACTTAGCAAATTTAAGTTTCTACTGTTCAACTACTTACACAAGCACTGACTCTTACCAAACATTTATATGTTAACACCAGCTCTTATTATCAATAGGACAAAGACAAGGAGAATGCCTCCTTTCTAAAGGACACCACCAGTCATACTTGACCAAATGAGAATTAATTTTAAGTGCAAAATTGGAATTGTGTCAAATATTTTTTTGATTCTTACTTTTTTCCTTTCCTAGGTCCTACAGCTGATAAAACCCGTTTTGCAAACCTGGAAGAGCTCAAAATGGCACACAAAAAGAAACATCATTCATCTACTGTATGTGTTTACAGTCTGTCATGTCCCCAGTCTAAGTTTAAAAACTCTGGTTTTGGATTTACAATACTGGTTTTGAGAAGCTTTATAGATTCTATTTAGAAACTCACCTTAGTGTGATTCTACAGTATAATAGTCACTTTTGAAATACCGTTTGACCTCCCTGTGTTGTAATGCGTTTGTCTGATATTAGCCCTTTTTTTTTTTCTGTGAAATGCTTTTAAAATTGTTTTGTATGCATGCAAAATACTCAGTGTTGTGGTTTTGTTGTTTGTTTGGTTGTTTTTTTTTTTTAAAACTGTTCATTCTAGGTGATGACAAAAGGATTTGCTCAGTATGAACTCATTAAAGGTGCTGCAATAGAGGACACAATTGTAGAATCTGACAGCAATATCTATGTCGATATCACATGGAATACTGTAGATAAGATTCTGGAGATGCCCCCACTAACTTCAGCTGCAACGCTGGTAAGTCAGGAAGGAAAAAGCAGACGAACCCAAACTCTTTCCATGGCTTACATTGTGAGTAGTGTAAAGGGTAAAATATAAGTTTGATTCTTGACATTTGTGTTTATTCTTTAAATAAGCAAAACAATATGTTCATAAGCTAAATTATAAATTATGCTAAAATGCATTTCAGTCATTAAAATTTTAGGACACTTGATTTCTAAACTTTGAAACTGACATAAACTTCTGGAACTTGCAGAATATTGCACTGGAGTCTGGGGACCCCAGAAGTCCTGTATATCAGCTATATAGAGAACTGCAGTTTCTCCTTGTAAGTAGAAATTTGAATTTCTCACTTATGATTTACATGGAATGGTGATTTTATGTGTTAATAATTCATTTAAAACTTCATCCTATGTTTCAAAGATAATTTTAAGCTTTTACTTTAGAATAAGCTTTGAGTTCAGTTTTAGGAATCTTGAATATAAAGGGGACAACTCACAAACACCGAAACCAGGAAATTCAGAATTCATGGTTAGCTGTACAGAGAGATGTACAATTCTTGGAGAAGTTAGCTACATTTTGAAGCATGACACATGCAGAACCTCAAACAAGAACTGATTTGTTTTGATTTTCGTGCTGCCTTTAGGCTCTGGCTGAGGGTTTGAAGACGGGTGTGACTGAGTGGCCTGAGCCATTAGAGTCTGAATCGGCTGTTGAACTGGTCCGGGAATTTCTGACTGGTAATTGCTGCTTGTTACATGGGGACAGAGGGATGTTGCATTTCACAGAAATGAAAGGAAATTCCACATGCAATTTAGAAAGTATTAGATTTTGAGATGTTAATTTCTCTGCTATAACCACCAGCACAAAGTAGTTAAACAGGTTAGTCAGTACATCTCTCTCATTTTCCTTTATCCTAATATCTTGTATAAAAGTAAAAATTGTTTCTTTATAAAATGACATGGTTATGTTTAAAAAGCAATTGAGAGAGTTCTGGATCTGGCATGCACATGAGCTTCTAAACATGCTAAGTGACCCTTTGGTGGCAGAAGTTAATAGTTTGATGACATCTTAAAATGAAGCATCCAAAATTACCGATTCCTGCTGAAAACTGTGGTGAACAGTATGTGTCTTGTCAGAAGTTTAAGATAGTAAAAAACAAGTCTAAAAAGAGAATCAGGTGTAGGAATGCACCAAGAGATTTTTAAATGCAATTGTACATTTTTTTAGTATATAGATAAAACTTGGGCAAAAGATAGAACCAGATGAAAACTCTCTCTGATGTGTGGAAGAGACACTTAGTAGACCACCAGCTACTCCTTACTGCTTCCACACTGGAACTCAACAAGTTAATACTTAGATAACAAAATGTAGTAAAGGTATATGGGGGCAATGTACAGCTTATAAAAAATATTAAACTGTCTTTTCAGACTATAACCTTACCTAGTAAAAACAATTTTAAAAAGGATAAATTTTGTCTTAGCCATTCAGTCAATGTATTTGTTAATTATAATGTGCCCGATGATTTATAACATTGATTTGATGATGGATTTTTTTTTTTTTAATAGTGGTGAAATTTATTTTTCTCCTCTACTAGATTTAAAGAAGAAGCTGGTTGGATATTGTGTATCTGGAAACAAGAATGAAATGGAGGTATAATTCCTACCAATTGTCTTGTCATCCTGTTTCATTTATAACAGTAGTTATTTCAAATTTTGACAATGTCTTGTATATTATTTATGTATATATGTAAATACATAACAAGACAACAAGATGTAAAGAAAGATAAACCTTTTGCTTTCTGTTTCTGCTGTGTAAAAATAATGGAAGAAGGCCTTACCGGCAAAATTAGGAATTCCATAGCTACCCTCTAACAGAAAGAAAACTCCCTGTTTTTTTATTCTAGATGGTCTACTAGTGTCCATTATACATATTTTTTTATATAACTTAGTGGTATGGATCTATTTTGTTTTGATTTGATTTTTCCCTTCCTTTTTCACCACCAAAAGCTTGTAAATTGAACTGTGTTACATCAACTGAAATTGCACTCCCTTGTCTTAACCATTGTCTGTCATCTCCTAAAGCTATCAATCTCATGATGCCCTAGTTTATTGCAGGACCTCTGACCTTTGCACCATTGCATTCTATCATTAATTTGCTTTTCTTGCCTAATGTAATGATTTTGGACCAATTTAATGGTATCAGTTGGATATCTGTCCCACTTATCTAGAGTTTTATGATATTCTGAAGCAATAGACAAATTCAAATTATAAAAATATCTTCAGTTATATTAAGATTTTCTCCCCTTTCGGCCCACAAAGAAAAGTTTGGGTCTTTTTCCTGTCAAGAGGGAAATTGCATTTTGTTGATAAACTAAAAATATAATGATTTTTGTATTGGCTGAACCAGAAATACTCAGCACCAGGATAACAGAAAAATAGTTCTCTGTTCTGAAGATCTATGTATGTATTAATTTTGGTCACCCAGGGCACTGCTAGGCATACGTACAATTACTTAACCATCTGTGAGTTCAGTGCAGCATTGGTCATATTCTGAGTTAGTGCTTGCTGGACTGTGTTCTTGCTATTTACTAATGTTCTGTGCATCGTGCCGTTGTAAGTTGAAAAGGACCACGCTGAGCTAAGCAATTGGTTTTTATTAGTCTGGCTGAGCTTTATTTGGCAAAGATCAAAAGTCTTTCTGATGGTAGGCTTCACTTTCTGGTCCAAAGCCAGAGTTATCACACTGGATAATTGCTAAGAAGCATTAGTCTCACTCTTAGATAAAAATATGCTTCCGAATTACTATGTACTAGTCGTTTCTATGCGGTAGTTTCCCCAGAAAAGGGGAAAAATTAGTGATGCACCCAATATTGATCTGTGGAGAAAATTTGAATTCCTAAGATCTTTGAATCTTAGGCATCTTTTTTTACTTAAACTCTTTCAGAAAATCAAATGTGACACAGCTGCGGTGGACAGTTCAATAAAATCAATCTTCAGTGAGCGAGGAGACCTGGATTTTGCTGAACAATTGTGGTGCAAAATGAGAAGTAAGTGTATTGTGTTTTTTTGCCACAATGAATGGAGGCTTGTTTCTTGCTTAGAAATAAGTTAGTTGGATAAAGTTCATATCCTAGATAGATGCTGTTCAGTGAAATTTATAACATGTGTTGAGCTTCAAGGTATATAGAGAAAATGTAGCCAAAATGTGTTATATGACAATCCGTTTCTGCCATGTGCTGTTCTCTTACCAGGCGTATGCAGTTCAGTTGTCTCTTGATCGTTTCTTTAGACTAACCTTTTTTAAAGTCAGGGTATGACGGACTTAACAGTGCAATCTGGCATTTCAGCTGCCATTCTTTAAGTGAGGAGTTTTGTTCTTGCAAGTATGTGTTGGCCTATTGTTATTTGACGTAATCCAGGCGCTCTCTCTGGCTGTTGATAAATAAAATATTGCATCTTTTTTTCCTCAAGGTGTCAGTTCCCATCAGGAGTTGATAGAGTGTTTCACGCTGATCTTAAAATCCCTGGAACATGGTGAAATACAGCCGTGGGTATGTATTTGAATTTCACAATCAATTTTCAAATTTTGAGTTGTTTGAAATAGTTCTCGTCTCTTAACTACCCTCATTTCTGTGTTGTATTGTTTTTAAATTACTTTCACATGTCACAGTTTGCCTCTGTTTCCATGGTGTTTTACTTCTAAACAATGTTTATGATGTTTTGTACACAGTTACATCACAAGAGAACTTTTCTAATTTTTAGATTCATCAAGGGAGTTGCAGTTTGCTAAGTAAATTGATTCAACAGTCTTATCATGGAAAGATAGAGGTTGTTTCCCTCAGTGGCATCACTCCAATTCAAATGCTGTTGGAGATTGGTTTGGATAAGATGAAGAAGGATTATGTCAGTTTTTTCATAGGTAAGCCTGATATCTGTTAACCTGATCAGAAATTCAAGAGAAAAGGTATTCCATACAGGAAATGAAGCTTTTGATAACCTTGATCCCCCGTCAGAGCTGAAATGCTCTTTCCAGCCTCCTTAGTAATTGTACTTTTCAGTTGTATATGGATTCAAAATTTAAAAAATTAATTTGTTTCAAAATAACTATATCTTGCATAACCATGTATTTACTTTTCAATTTGAAAAAAAAACCTTTAGGTTGAACTTCAAGTAAAGTAAATACCAGATTTACATAACTGACCTGTTTTGTTTTCTTACTTGTTTGCTGTAGGTGAAAAAAGACCCTCATGCTCTTTCTGTCTTTTCCTTTATGGTCTACATGGGTTAAAAAGAAATTGGGCAAGGGTATTTATATGTAATAGCTGTGTTTGTACAGTCTGTACTATTTAGAAAGATATTTTCGATTATTATTTTTTATATCTATAAAAAATACTGGAAACAAAAACTAGAGTGGACAGATTTTTGTAAAGTACATTTTTTCTTGAAAACGTTGTGGCTTTATTTGCAGTATTATAACTTTATTATTTTTCTAAATCTGTGAGAGAGGTTTGTGTTTTACCATTGTTGTTACCCACTTCATTTTTCTTCATCTCATAATTTCTTTTTTGCTTTGTCATCTTGTTTTCATTCTTTGTTTCATTTGCTTTTTCATTTTCACTATTTGTAAATTTATATGTCCCAAGGAGAGTGGTTGTCTCAAATTTATGCGATAGGTTTCTCTGTTGTGCAGCCTTGGTGGGTAAATAAAATAATGTCTTTAACATGCCATTTTAAAGGATTTTTCTTGTTTTGAATGAGTAATCATGTCAATAAATAACATTGCGGTCCTAGTGACTTTGGGATTTTCTTTGGTAGAATTCCCTGCTTGATTATCTGAATGTTGCTGATATTTCATCTGACACGTATTAAATTTTAATTTATTTTTTTTCCCCCCTTGTTCATCCTACAGGCCAGGAACTTGCAACATTAACCTACTTGGTGAGATGCTTTTTTTTTTCTTTTAAACTCTGAAAGCACTATAAAGTAGAGCACACTTAGCTGATGGTGGGATGCAAGTCATATCGTTCATATAAGCTGAGAAACTGAATTGCAAATCATGAGAGTGGAACACTATACTGCAGAAATATCATTATGTTGTTTCCTTATTCATCTATTATTTCTTAGCTATCTGGCATGGGTCATTGTCAGGCAGGACAGTGAACCTTTGTTCATACTTTGATAGCATGGAACTTTGTTTTGACTCTGCTGGGCCATTCTTAAAATTTTGGCTTCTCAAAAGAAGAAAAACTGCTTTAGTATACTGAGGATGTGTTGCATGTCTGTAGAAATTGAGTGTCCAGTTAAGAGCTCTAGAAGCTGTTTGCTGTTCCAGGATTACTTCACTTCCACATCAGTAGATCTACAAGAACAAGTTCATCGTGTTCAAAAGCTTCACCATATACTGGAAATAATGGTCAGCTGTACAGTCTTACTTCAGTTTAAACATGAGAACCTCTTCCCTTTGACACAGTAATTATTTCATTTTTACTTCTTGCTCTTTAAGTGACAATATCAAATAGATTCTCTTTAGCAGTTGTAGAGGAACTCTCAACAACAACAAAAAAAAAGTGGCCTTCCTTAATGTTGATGATAATGAGACTGCAGAAGTAGCAGTTGGTTCTTCCTGCTAAATTGTGCTTTGTGACTAAAAGTGAAAACAAATGAAATCATAAAATCTGAGAGTACAGTTAATTTTGCACAAGTTTTATGCAATGCTGTACAAGCATTTCTCCAAATAAAATTAGTAACTAGTTAATATCTATTGTAGAATTTGCATGAAGTATTATAAGGAAAACCCTCTGAATGAGAAGCATGTGTTTCAACTGCCGATCAGAACAGCTCTTGTCAAGAAGTTCTATCAAAAGTAAGAGAGACTTCAATGCTTGCAGCATCAAAATTCAGTTGTGACTGAATACCTGACTAAATTTTGTCATTTTTTTCATTATTCTCTCAGTGATCACCCAGAAATATGGAAGGTGGACATAAGTAGCACGCATGGACTGAAGGAGGCTAAAACAACGTGGCTAGTTAGTACTAATCCTACAGTTGAACATATGACATCAAACAATACAGGTAAGGAATATTTGTGGTGAAATGAAATCATGAAAGTACACACTTCAAACAAATTCAGTTTTTATACTGGGTTCAGTGGGTTTGAACTTTTTCTTACTTATACTTTTCAGGAGAAGCAAAGCAATGTTTTGCCTTATATTAAAAGGGTGAGATGGTATTTGTAGAATAGAAAAGATTTTCAGAAAGTGGTATCTTTCTGCTTTCTCACCTTTGAGCTAAGTTTTCAGAGTTAAAATGACAGAATAGGTCCAAATGTGACATGATTAAGTGTTCATAATATTATTTCTAAAGTCTTTGCCAGTGTATCTGAGAATGGGTTCGAAGAGAAATTTCCCTGTTACTGAATGCTGGTCTCTAGTCAGAGAAGCAAACAGTGCTAAGGAGGGAAGACATGCCTTGCTGCAATCAAATGTAGAACAAGTGAAAAAGCATGAGAATGGGGAAGAATTAAGCATATGGACTGGTATAGACATAATTTGCCTTTTGGGGGTGAGGTTTGATACAGGGTAATGTTTTGGTAAAACTTTCCTGTCGTCAATTTTTGTTATGAAGTGGTCTTTTCAGTAAAGCTGAAGTTTTGAAACCAGTTCTTGAAGCTGCTACATGAACTAATCTCTACAGTTTCTCTTTCTAAGCATAGTGGCTGATCACATCTTTTTCTTTTGTCTTTGCAGGTCTCTTGTTTGATTCCACAGTTAATGGAAGCAGTGAAGAAAGAACGTATTTTATTACAGTGGCTCAGTGCAGTCAGGTGCATTTCACTTAAATGCATGTTACTCTACAGGCAGGCACTTGAAAGGTACAGTAAAGGGGAAAGTTCAGTATTGTCTCTGTTCCAGCAGTATATTTAGAAACACTCTGATTTGAGGAACAGTACATCTTACTGAGTTATTTGCTTTAGAATGCTTGAAGTGTGACATATATCAGCCATAATTCATCTGTAGGCATCTAGTTTGTTTATAAATGTTGTGCAATTATGAATGTACAGTGTAATTATTTTGAAAATATAGGACTTATTTTTGTTCATGTATTTACAAACATTCAATAAAGTTCTGCACTTTAGGGTTTTAAATTTTATTTTTATTCGTTAAGAATGCAATCAGACACTGTTCAAAGTGTGAATTCTCTTAACCCAACAGAACAAGCAATATTGTCATGTTTTCGTGGTGTCAGGTGACATTTCATCATCCAGATATTTTTGGAAAGCTGTTCATCCAGGGCATTGTGAACTTCTGACAGTTTGATTTTCATTGTTTCTGGATCTATATTTTGGAGTATTCTTGGATATGCTTCTCTCTCCTCTTCAAATTAATTTTTTTTTTTTTCCCTCAATGCAAAGTGAGTTATTCTAACAGTGTTGTCTTGTATACTTTTGCATAATTTTCTGAAAAAAATGTTCAGTATAATTGGCTGGGCATAATCATTTAATATGTTGGGATGACAGTTGTATATGTTCTTATGTTGATTAGACAGTGTATGTACTGTTTTGGCAGTGTAATTTTAAACAATTACCTGGCATAGTATATGCTGATTGAAAAACGTGAGACAGAAGGATTTCGCATAAAAGAATCTATTAACTATTGATAAGTAAGAATAAGGAAAACCCCAGTGTTTATGCTTTGTAAAAACTATACGTTTTTGTAATTTCTGGTTTCTCCTCAGTCCGTCTTATTTCTTATCCCTTTCCTAATATTACATATAATAACTATCGGTTTAATAGTTAGCCCTTGAAGAGAAGCTAAGAACAAGGTATTTTTTTGGAATGATGTTATTATCATACTCTGCATTCAGCATGTGCACATGCAGTGTTGAAAATACAGTGCAAGCTAAATAGGAAACTTGTTTGTTGCTTCTCTTTAAAGTAATAATTTCAAGCACAACAGGAGGACAATATAACCAGATGGCCATATTCTGGAACAAATTCCTTATAATCATGTACTATACTTGTTCCTACCTGCAGTAGAAGTGAATCTGAGGTGGAATATTACATTCTGTAAGTGTCTGGATTACCCATAATAGACATTTCTGTGTGTAATATATTATAAAGTCATATGAGGTAAACCTAGTTCCCTCTAAACGAAACTAGAGAAATAAGAGTCCTTGGTTTAAATCTGACTCAGCGGTTGTCATCTTTGATTAATCACTTCAAATAATTCTTCTCCACACCTAGATAGTAAGGCTATATTATCCTAACTTTTAGACATGAATAATAAGTTAATGCTTAAACAGTGCTTTTGGAATATTTAAATCCTTTTCTATTTTAAAATTATGTGACTGTCTCTCAACTAGCATTTTCATGCTAATTAAAACCTATTGATGAACAGACTGAAATGAGAATTTGCAAACAGTTTTTATCACTTGAAATTTGTACTGGCAAGATTTGAATCACTTCAATCTTAGCTAACTATTTTTCTGGTGAACAAAATGTATAGTAGTTTTCAAAATAATAAGAAACGAAATCTGCTACTTACATTTTCTTTCTGCATTATTTTCTACTAATTTCATTTTGGGTGTTGATAAATTTAAATTGTTTTGGGAACTGAATAGAAAAAACTGTAAAAAGTGCTAGGTGGACAGGTGAAGTAATATTTCTTTATCCTTATAATGGTATAAAAAGAGGCACCTGTGGTAAACTTTAACTAATATAATAAACTGGTTGCATTTTATTTATTATGCAAAATGAAGATGTATGTAAGCATGTAATTTTAACTATGATTTCGCATGTAGAATATTAGTAGGACAATACTGATGAGTATGCAGAGTGTGAAAACTGTAGGAAGAACAATCTCTGTCACCATTTCCATGTGAGTAATCAGGGAATCTAAAATTTGAGAAATGAGTAGTATGTAAGAAATTTAATCTTCTGGAGTATATTAATTGTTAACTTAGATCTAACATAGATTAATAATTTTTTTGAACATTTATGGCTAAACTTATTTTCTTAAATGTTGGCATTAGAATAAACAGCAACCAAAACAAACAAAAAAGTTTCTTAAGTCTGCAAAAGCTGGAGCAAATCCATGACAGTTTTCCTTCTCTATTTTCTTTCTGAGGTAAATTTTTGAAAATATGTCAGTGCACAAATGGCTGCAAAAATTGTACTTACTGTGAATTAATTTCATTGCATTAGCAGTAGTCTACTGTTCCTTTGATTTTTATTCTCCCCCCTCAAGGGAAGGGTAGAAAAGAAAATTATCAAGGAGAAATCCTTGGGAAGCACTTTAGCCTTTTTATGATTGTTTTGCAGCTCTTTGAAAAGTTAAGTGGGTTTTATTTTGTAGAATTCTGTTCCACAGATAAGCCTCAAAGACTTCAGTAAACACAGTTAATTCACATAGAATATATCACTCAGCAGCTGAGGCTAAGTAGGATAAACTTAGGATGACTGCTTTGACATTTTCTACCATGTGGAATTGATTTCATCCTTTTTATGAGACTTTATAATATTTATTTCATCTTTTTTTAGAAGTTTCAGAAATCCATTGCGGTAGGCTATTCCCCTGGCTCAGGAACTATGAAAGGTCCTGAATTACATTGGGAAGGTCTTAAGTGAGATGGATTAGGCTGGCACTGTGGGAATTGCAGGCAAAGTCTGCTGTGCTGATGTGTTCTTGAGCAGCGGCTGTAAGCTGTGCTGTTGTTAGCTTTGTTACCAGGACTATCAAAGAGCAAAACCATGGCTTAACACTGCCTAAGCTAGTGCTTAGCCCGTTTTGTTAATAGTTCTTGTATGTAGAAGTCAAACATCTTAGCTATTTTCTGTCTGCATGGTTGTCTTGATTTGTTTGAGTTTGTATAATGTTTGAAAGAGCATTTAGCACTTTTATTATTTTAAGGAGAGTACTGTCGTCCCTAGCCTTAATTTTAAATAGTAGCTTTCAGTTTGTGTATTCCATTAACATCCTAAGTTGATCCGTTTAGCTACAGTGATTTTAGTTGGAGAAAGTAAAGACAGACCTTTTTCTTTAAAGGCTTGTATTTGAAAGCTGTTGTGCTTTCAGGGAGAAAATACATTTTAGGATTTGCTGATAGTAGTATTTACAGCGAAATTTTAAATCCTAAAGTTACATAATATGCTTTTATAAAACAAAAGAGAAGAAAAATAATTACCTGCAGCAAGGAGTTGGTGTGTGGTAGAGCAAGTGTCCATGGCCTTCTGATACCAGTTTCCCACCTGAGAAGGTTGACATGTAGCAGTTCTGTTAGTGTGATATTCTGTCTCATTCACAGCAGCTTTTTCTCTGTCCCTGAACATCTGTCCACTCCAGTTGACTTGATACTATTTTATTCCGTCAACACGTGATTTTCTGAAAGTTTCTTTGTATCTTTGTGGGTTTTATTGCAATATATTTCTTACAGTTAATTGTTTAATAAAATTATAAAAAGCACATAGTATATTTCATATTATTTTCCTATGAGGTAGCACGTTTGTGTAATTTTCTGCCTAGAAATCTGACAGAACACTGGTAACTTATGATTCAGAATTTTTGATCACATGAGTAAGTCCAATTAGTTTAAATGCTTTAGAAACAGTAATTGAGGCTGATTCCACTTTGTCTTTGGAGGCCTGTACATTTAACACATTCCTAATTTACAGAGCCAAAGTGTCATTCCATGTACCATATTCATGCAAGTTGTTTCATTAAATTCAATGTGATATTTGTTCACATATTGAAGAAAAAAGAAAAAGAATAAAATTATCAGTTGTCATCACCTCTCTTGGATTTGGGAATCCATTTGCACTGATAATCTTTTTATAATAGTGAACGGATGCCTTTGGGTATCGTGGTTTGTTCTTGTTTTTAAAATCAATGTGATAAAATCCAAATCTTTCAGAGAAGCCTTTGTTCCATTCAAATTTGTCCAGCAGTGACCAGGCAGTATAACCTTTGACATTAACACCATCGTTTAGAGCTGTAAGCACAATACAAATTATTCTGTTTAAACTTGTTGCTGTGTTTGTCATCCTGAAAATACAGTTCTGTAGGTGTTTTGTTTTATACCAGAAGGAGATGGGGAGAAGGGGAGGAGGACAGAAACATGGCAAAGTATAAAGTAAATGCTATTCTTTGAAAATGTTCTCTTTAGCTTAGAGGTACTAGAGCTTTATAAGAATGATAATTAGGTGCAATTTCTCCTTTCTAAAAGTAGAAACTGATGATCTATTACGGTATCAAGCCTCATGTAGGTTATTGTATTTATTAGCTTCAGTATGTTGGGCTAGGTTGTAATTTTTGTGAAAATTTATTAGTCTAGTTTGCTGTCCATTTTGATCTGTGAATACGTCTTTCTCTATGCTATAAATTACAAGAGTAAAAAATAATCAGTAGGTGAAAATGCTCAAAAAGCTCATGCACTAAAAAGATGTTTTTAAAGTTACCTTTCAGTATTTCATTAATATATCCTTTCAGATACTCTATCCGCCATTCATCACACAGCTGAGTACACTGTACCTTTTCAGAAACTCCATTTTCTGTGACATAAATGAGAGGGTTCCCGTACTGTGTCTGCAAACAAAGATATGTTTGGACCATTTCATATAAACAAAATCATCTTATTTTGACAGAACATGAGATTCTTCATAAAATGCATTAAAAGCAATTTTCTAGATTTACTTACAGATACATTTAATAAGAAAATACGTGTAACTAGGAATTTAAATCAACTACAGCTTTTATTTTTAAAATACAGTTTTCTGAACTGAAATTAAGATTTTTTTTTTTTTTTTCAAAGAAACTTCCCAATATGACAAGATAAATCTATAGGTGAAACCGTTGCAAAATCTAAAATAGTATAAGTGCATCTTCTGCATGTAACCGGGCATTTTGTTCACTTCCTTTTAAAGATTTACTCTGTAATTACCTTAATGAAGTTGAGCAATCTTCTGAATCCCCAAGGCACAGAGTATAACCATTTAGGTCCTGGAGCTGGCCATTGTGGGTCCACCAGCTCAGCCAGCTCATGGTCAGTGTGGTAACTTGACACTCGGAGAAAGGGAAAGCTCTTTTGTAGAACATAACGAGTAGTAAAATGACCTATTCCCAGGAAATCCGATGTGCCTTTAATATAGGTTTTCTCTTGCACTGAGAAAGTTGGTAATCTTGATTTCCCCAGGCCCTGCTGGGCACTCTTCCTACCTATCAAAATAATTACAGGAAACATACTTCTGAGGAGCACAGAAATTTGTTTTCTTTACCTCACCAACAATAAATATGGTTTTCCTGAACCTAGTGTTAGTGCAGAGGACAGTTTAGTTTGATTGTTTTTTTAAGATGTAATAATCCTTCATCCTTTTGCTTTGGAGAAGTAAGCTGGATACAAGACAGTGAATTAGTGTTCTGGGTTTGTGTTTATTTTTTATTTTATTTCCAAAGAGCATGATAAACGTCAACTGAATGCATGGAAACGTAACATGACAAGAACAGAAGTGCTTTGCTGCTGAGTACATTGCCAATATTCTTCATTCTGTAAAACAAACATAGTGAAACCCTGTAGAAATGGAAGCTTTCATGATGAAAAACTGCTGGTTCTTTGTCCTTAGGTGGAAACTCCAGCAAAATATTTAACAAGTCCCTGCCTTGTTTAGGTCACTAAGAATGGACAATGGCTGAGAAGTGAGGTAGTTGCTTCCTTTTGCACTGGGAGCACTGAGATGGGCAACTGCTGGGTTCAACAGCAGCTCAACTTTTTATTTCTAGCATGTCCCCCAGCCTGCTCAGGAGCTGTGTCTAGCCCATGGGCCACTTGTTGCTCACCCTTGTCTCACCTGCGTCCTCATACTTGACTAAACTACACATTAGTCACGGGCTATTCTGTTGTAAGATGCTGTGAGTGCGTAATTTATTCATGTTATAGTCGGTTACTGGGGCTTACCTACATAATTCTTCATAACTTCTGGATAGTCTCCTCTGTAAATTGGATTTGCAAACCATCCCAAATGAAACTGGATATATCTTTCAGCAGCGTCTCTGTCTGCTTCGCTGTGTGGATCAACAGGTTCACCCCAGCCACTAGTTAGGGAAATTCCAACCATACCTTAAAATGCAAAGTGACAATTCTGCAGTTCATGAATAATCTTTGAGCCCTTAATATAAATAGAAGCATAATTACAGAATGAATCCTTATTACCTTGCTGCTCATTACGCCATGTGTTATTGTAAGAGTGCCATACCTTTGCATGAGTCTAAGTTAAGAAAAAAAAAAAATCATATGCACATTTTAATCTATTATGCCATAGTATAGAAAGCTAGTGAAGATCAAGAGCAGTTTTTGTACTAAGGCATGTCTGAAAGTATCACATCATTTATTTTATGTATATTGTAGAAGCTTTCCTTTCATATAAGTTGTCAAAAAAAATATTTGTGCAAGATTCCTTCCCTAAATTCCAGGATGTGTCCATGAAGGTAATATGCAGAATTCAGTTTAGTGTAATGTTCAGCATCTCCAGTCTTTGGATGGCTTTGCCTAATTGATTCAGGCAAGTGAAAATTTATTTTACAAGAGCCAGACTTACTGAAGTCACTTGCAAAAGTCAGGTTCATTTCAACAGGTCAGGATGTTACTCCTTGTTTCTGGAGTAACCTGGAGTTCCTATTCAACCAGCTTTGCAGTATGTTTCAGAGAGACAATTCAATTACAAGGAATTAAGTTGCAACAAAGTGTCTCAACAGGCACCCAGCATCTCATGCCACACTGGAATATGCAGGGGTAGTTTAAAGTCCGGTGATAATTTTGATGTGTGAGTTGGAAATGGCATCGTTCCAAAACTAGCTTTCTGCTTAAGGAGCAGAATCAAAAAACTTAACCAGTCTGCTAAAAATTCTTAATTCACAAGTAATTTAAAGAACGATTTTAGTTTTACTTTAATTATATGGTGCGCTGCTTTGTAGGCTCCGCATCCACCGAGCTTCAGTCCTGGTGCATGTTCTCCTGTTTCGTAACCCTTTTCAGCGACTGCCTACAAATATGTAGAGTTAGTTACTCTCTGGTGAATCTGCTGCTGTCCTGTGGACTTAGTTCCTATGCTCTTCTGCACGGCCCATGTCTCTCTATCGCTCTACCCTCTCCACTCCCCATTTCCCTTCCCCTCGGCTCCTACCTCCTACCCTCTGCTCGGTTGATAATACACTCGAGCTTGTTGGAAGTGATGTGGTGGTGACTGGTGTTAGTGGGCTGACTTACCAACTTGCTGTTCCCTGATGACACGCAAGAAGGGCAAGTTATAACTGCCTCTCTGATTTCTGTGCCTCTCTCCTCTCCAGCTGATGATTTTTCCAAACTTCACTGGAATTTCATGTCTTAAAACTGCCCTTGGGCAGAATCTAGCCACTGAAATTTTGGGGCACAATAATTAATAAGTCCCTCCCTCCCTTTCCCTCTCCAATTTTCAACCTACTTTCCTGTAGTGTTACTTCCACAGAATTTTGGGAACAGAACTGTGTAATGGGAGTAACTGGAAGGAAAGCACAGATAACTTACCCAAGGATTACTAAACGTAATCCAGTGTTTCACACGATCACCAAACTTCTCGAAACACAGATTTGCATAATCATTAAAATAATTTATCATGCTTATATTTTGCCAGCCACCGTACTTTTCTTGGAGAACCTTCATAAATAAGAATTCCAAGAATCAATAATGTTATTTAAATTTCAACTGCCTATTAACAAAGACTTTTATTTATATTTCAGTAGCTCAGAAAGAGATTTTTTCAAAACTTCAAATATATAAACTACAATGTATATAAAATGCAAGTGAATAGAAAATAATTATAAGCACACTTAGAAGCATGCAGGCACCTTTAAAAACTTTTCTGATGTACACATAGTCCTTAAACTTGGAAATGAGCTTTCTGTCAGAAGCATTTATATTAGACATTTCACTAACTTAAATATTGTCTAACCTGTGGAAGATCCCAGTGGTAGAGGCTCACGATAGGGATAATATTGTTTTCCAGAAGACTATTAATTGTATCATTGTAGAACTGTATTCCCTTCTCATTCAATTGCTCTGCTGATGAAACGCACAAACAAGAAATTACCTGGATTGTTCTTCAAATAATGGGAAGAATAAAAATCTAAAAATTTTAACGAAGAAATTTTGCATTGCAGTGATGTGTATAATGTAATGCATGTGCAATGGTTAAACTCTGTTCTGCGGACAAAAAGCCATAAATCTATTTAACAGTAATGTAAAAACCTGGTATACTCACAAGTAAAATTACCTGCCTGCTCTTACTGATAAGACTATGGTGAAATTGTTATGCTTACTTTTGATGCCAGTGGGCATAATCCGCGGCCATGAGATAGAGAATAGATAGTGATTAACTTTCATCTCCTTCAGTAGCTGAATGTCATCCTGTGAAAAGAAAATCATATTAATAACCTATCTCAAGTCCGAGCAGAATAACTCTTCAGTTACTCATCTGTCTTAAATAGTACTGAATGCAGAAAAGCTATAGAAGAGTTGCACAAAAGAAGATTCCATCAGTTATTTTCTGCATTTGTTTTGAGACGATGGCTCTTTCTACTTGTAAACTTCCTTTTTAGCCATTTTTTATCTTGACTCTGCAAAGATGTCCTGTACTGTTTTGTGTTAACAACAATGGAAAGTGAATGTTTTCACTACCAAATAGAGGACGGAAAAACGAGTTGAGGTATTCTGCAACAAAATTATACCAGAATTTGTAATGTGGATGTTTAAAAAAATAATATAAGCATGTCAATTTTGACCTTGAACATTTCAGCTTAGGTGCAAAAGCATGATTAGGCAGGTGTTCATTTACCATCTTGTACCGGAGTTAGCACAGAAAATAAATTCGGTATGAATACGTGTTATCTTTCTAAGAAATCATACATCTTTGGTATTAAATGAAATTAGAAATTGATGGTATATGAGCCAATGCAAAGAAAAGTCTGATGATGAAAATAAATAAATAGTGCTTTTATATAAAGAGGACCATGTAACTGTACACACAGAAGCAAGTTTTAGAAAGTATCTCAAAATACAAGCCCACAGTAGCGAGTAAATGTTGAAATGCTATAGTTTATGCCTGTGTCCTCCCTGAAAAATAGGTCCTGCGATCATTGTGTCAGCCTCTTCTGATGCAGCAGCCCAGTGAGTCTCAGAGTTCCAACTTCTCTGTGGGTTTTTATTAAGCATTGCTATCAAGCTTTTACTTGTTTGAGAGAGATCAAATGAAATCTCTTCTGTATTTATCTCTCGCCTGTATTTTTATAAATATATATGCTCCACTTTAGGATAGATAGCAAGGCATCATTAGTTTTTTTCCTCTTAGTTCTTGCTGAGACCTCTGGTTCTTCCTTGGATTTCATATATCTGGTAAAACTTCAGTGGAATATAATTTTTATCAAATTAGTTGGAATTCCAATTAGGTAGTACTGGCTTATCACAGTCATTTGGATTCCTTTTGCTGTGTAACTGTCTCCTCCAGGACAGTAATTCTGAAATTGTGTTTGATAGTATTAAGCTTGGAAATATTTTGCTAATAGAGCTGCAAAAAGTGGAAAACATTCAGACTGAATTTTAAAGCATCTGATGGTTATATTATTCTTAAATATATAAAGAAATGCTTTAAAGCTGCTCAAACATGGGAAAAAAAATGTTAATTTTATTCAAAGCTCAAATGTGTTCATTGTTGTTCTAACTAAGCATTTGGAATTCCCACAAAATTTAGCATATTTCTTTGGACACAAAAATCCTGAAAAACTGGGATATATTTGGGAAATACTATGGTATTACTGATTCTGTGAAATTATTAGGAAAGAAGATTTTACTGAACTAATTGAAAATATCATCCCTTGGCTTCCTAAATTAAATGAGCCTATAGAGCAACTAAAGCATTTAATCTTTGCTGTTATTTCAAAATGGAAAACCATATCACGAACTGGCTCCAGAATATTTCTAGAGGGGTAGTTCCTCTTTAACAATACCTTAATTCTGTAGTAGCCATCACATGCTGAATCTCCCGTTTCATTTCTAAACACTTTCCCTTTCTTGTGAGTAAAAGCATCCCAGATACTTGGTCCTTTCCCATCCTTGTCCCAGGCCCCTTCAGTCTGGTACGCAGAACTTCCAACGCCCCATAAAAAACCTGAAGGTAAAAAGAAGTGAGTTATGACTTAAACATTTTCCTGCAAAACTGGTCTTCATACTAAATTTTCATATGAGAATGTATGGCATAGCTTGTTGTGAGATATGTGTGATTTCATGCCTCCTGAACAGGAGCCCAAGGTTTTTTACATGAAACTTTATTGGTGCATAAAAAGGGACTGTCTGAAAATGTGGTATAGACTAACAGTATCCTTTTCTGATGCACTGAAAAAGGAATCTAATTCTAATTTATGGGGGTTTTAGTCATTACAGGTTTAGCTATTTGTTATGTAAAATATATGGAAAGATTCTGCATATCAGCTTAGTATTATACAAATGGGCATGATTAATAAGCCACTTAACTTGAGCATGAAAAAAAAATCAGCGCCTGTATATTTTTTCACCGTTTTGATTTTGGTTGAATAAAATGTGTGAGTGTGTTTAAATATATGTTGAAGAAAGGGTAAGGTTTCATAAAGCAGTACCGAAGAGTGAATTAGGTAACACAAGCCCAACACAGTTATTTCACTCATGTTCATTTCCTAAGTTAGCTGCATAATGGGATATTTTTAGGCAATAATTATTTATTAAGTGTAGATAATTTATGAAAGAGTTCTCAGGTGTGATTTGTTATACTGTGCATCTTATTCAATCACAGACAGGAAAGGGAGATTTGGATATGAAATATCCATCTATTAGCATTTACTCTTGAATTTACTGTTTTAAGTATATTTCCAGGGCTAGGTGCAGATGGTGATATTGTGTACACATTCTGCAAGAGCCTCCATTTTTGTTTCTGCCATTTCCCTGAAGGACAGGGAAAACGTTTTGGTAGCTTTCTTGTGCAAACACACAAGTAGGTCTAAAGCATTATACAATCAACTGTAGTTCAAAAGTACCAGATGGAAAAGTGCCGTAATAGAAAGAGCTTGGATTATTCTTTGTCCACTGGAAATCCTCAGCTGTATTCAGTCTTATTATCAGCATAAGCATATACCATATTCTCAAAATGCAAGTCTTCATCACTGTTAATTTCGTCGCTGCAAAGTGTTCTCTGCAAGTTCCCACCTGATAAAATAGAAGAGCATTGTCAAGTATTGCTGCTTGACAAAGTAGCTTAAGGTGATCAAAAGGGAAAAGCTTATTTTTTCTGCTGAATGGGTATGATTTTCATTGAAGGTTAAAAGCAGTGCTTGGGCTAAGTGGAAGGTGCAGTTAAGCTTCTGGCAGGGTGATGAAAAGGAGAGAAGAATGAAGTGCAAAATTACAACTATTAGAAGCGCTCACTGCATATTTTCCATTATGTTACTTACCTTTATTATGTTCTAAAAGTCTCTTTGTTAGTAGCTATTTGGTGGGACAGTTTGAAATCCAGAACAAGTGTCAGTAACTAAAACCCTGCAAACAGCAATTGTGAACAGGAGCAAGAAATACAAGTGATTATGCTGCTAGCGTCTTGCCACCTAAATACATAATGGAAACAAACCTTGTGGAAGTTGAAAAGGAAAATGAATACTTGCAGTTGTTGCAGTTTTAATAATTGCAGCTTTTATCTTGATGATGTCCCTTTTATCCAGTTCCAGCACCAATTTAAAATGCTACTGTGTATACACTATATTTTTAACTGCTAAATCGGGATAAACTATTGGTGGGATGACCAATTTTAACCATTTTAAATAAAGTTTCTGAAGGGCTTTGTAGAACAGCACTACTTTCCCCAAATGTATACAATTCCCAAAGGATCTGGTTTACATTCCTGAGCCTCTGTTGGCAAATTTGAAGATGGGGTTAGAAAGTGAGGAAAGTAGAACCAATAATTTATTAAAAAGAATAATATTTTTTGTTTGAGCATTTTATAAAAAGTCAATACATCTGGAGCTTTGAAAAACAAACTGGGATTACGGGATTAGGCATGAACACTAAACCAATCGATTGGGCTGTTTGTGTGAGACAGAGCCTTTATCAGTCTTTGGGGTCTCAAGAGCCCGTAAATGAAAATACCACGTCCTCGCCTGCCTGTACAAAACCAGCCTTGCTGCAGCCCTCCTGCTCACGCCAGAAGGGAGCTGCCTGTCCCAGAGCGTCTCATCAGCTCCTCTTGCACAGCCCTGGGGCAAGTGGCAGAATGAGGGTGGAAAAACCACCTCTAGAATCTGGTGAGCCCACCGTGGGCTCCTTCACCTTCTCCTTTAGGAGACGTCAGTAATGGCAGAGACTGGCCGCACAGAACTGAGCAACAGTTTATTTCTGACTTGCTTTTAGCGTGATTTTCTAGCATCTGCCTCCCCCGTGTACAAATTTAAGACCTGCACCAAAGCCTGGTGGGAATCTTTGCATTGACTTCCTAGGATTGTCAAGCCTCTAGTGATCTGGGCTACCAGATCCAAACAGCCTTGTAATACCTGTGTTGCAGATTGGTTTCTGACCAAAATGGAAGAATAAGTTGGCTCAAACCA